GTCATTTCTTCTGAAAGCAATCCAAAGAACTTGCTCTTGGGAATATGAAACAGTTTGCACTGTGCTCATACAGAGTTTAATATTCCTGTAGAAAATTTTTTGAATAAGTTGGCAAAGAGGAACATGTCAACTCTGTTTTTAAAAATGTTCACGATTTTAGCTCCTTGACCCCATCAAAAATAATTATAAGAAGTCTGATGGGCTGAACTTTGGACATACATAGTACTGCCTGCTGGTATTGATGAAGCAAACAGGTGCATTATATTACTAACTGTATTCAAGGGAAAACCAAAGTAAAACATTCAAATGATCTATTAATAGCAGTATTTGTACTGTCTCTATGATTCTGATTCCAACATCTCAACATTTTAAAGTTTTTCCCAAACTAGATATTTTGCTGAGCTCATGTTTCATTTGTATTTTATATGATTTGCAATAAACAAAGAATGGTTGCAATAAACAAAGAATAACTTGCCTGTTCAGTAGTAAAGCCATTAAGACCAGAAACCAATCAGTAGTATTACTTAATATTCTGAACTATTATGGGCAAAAGTAACACCATTGACTTCTTAGTCATATCTTTTCTTACGAAAACAGATTTTAGGATTTGGGCCAAAAAGCTAAACAATCAAAATACTTTTTCAATTAAAAACATTTTTTCATGATCACTTTAAACTTTTTTCTGTTTTAAACAAAGAATTTTTGCCATTCGATTTTACCTTATAAAACCAAAAAGATCATTTTTCATATTTCCTCTTTAAACACCAGAGACTCCATGTTCTATTTTTGAAAAACTGCAGGAATGTGATTATCCCTCTCTGTTACATGAAAATTTTTTTAATTTTACTTCTGCTGTTCTTTATACTGTTATGGAATTTTAAAGCTAAGATTTTTCACGTTTCTGCTGCTTCTGTAGTATAGCCCTATAAGACCAAATCCAATACTTGATACATTTAAAAAAAAAAAAGTTAAATCCTAAAAATAAACACTGATTTATACCTAAATTGTATATTCCAAGATGGAATATCTTTAACGTTTGCTGACTTTTCCTACAATAGTTCATTTAGTTCCTCTCACATTCTACTGAGAGTCTAAAGGAATCTAGGTATAGAAATTTACTAATTGTAAAGTCCTAGAGATGATCTAACCCAGCACCTTCACACGCTTCATTCTATCCCAAGAGGGGAACTGACATGCCCTAGATTAACCGGGATAAAAAGCTGTGATTCCTGACCCCTGGGGCAAGGACTTTTCATTGCAAAGACCATCTGTCATTTGGTAGGAATTTAAATTTTAATTCGATTAACAGACTATTTTCAAGAGCTGCTGATGCTAAAAGAGTTTTTAATGAATCTCATTAAATTTTTTTTTATTATTTCAATTTTTTAAATAAACTTTTTTATGTTAGAACAGTTTTAGATTTACAGAATTATTGTGAAGGTAATACAGAACGTTCCTATATACCTCCCCTGCAGTTTCAACTATTATTATTGCTTTACATTAGTATGGTACATTTGTCACAATTAATGAATATTAATACATTATTAGTTACTAAATCCATGCTTCATTCGAGTTTGTTGTCTCAAGATGCCACCTAAAATGTCACATTACATTTCTTTTTTTAAAATTAATTTTTTATTGAAGTTTAGTTGCTTTACAATGTCACATTTCGTCTCATACTTACATCTCCTTAGGCCATTCTGGGTTGTGACCATTCCTCGGACTTTCCGTGTGTTTGATGACTATATGTATTTCCTTGTGTTTGAAGAGTACTGGTCACATATTTTGTTGATTGTCCCTCAATTGAGGTTTGTATGATATTTTTCTCATGGTTGGACTTGAATAATGTGTTTTGAGGAGGAATACCATAGAGATAAAATTCCATTTTTATCCCATCCTATCAAGGCTACATACTATCAATAGGAATTATTGCTGTTGATGTTAACCTTAATCACCTGGTTTCAGGTAGTATTTGTCAGTTTTCCCCACTGTAAATTTACTCTTTTTGCTTTCTCTTTCCATATTGTACTCTTTGGAAGAAAGTCGCTATACACAGCCCACCCTAAAGATGTGGGAAGTTATTTTCTGCTTCCTTCCTTAAGTATTTACATAAATTATTTGAAATCCTTCTGCATGGCCTATTTGTCTATTCTCACCCACTTGTTGATTTAGTCAATCATTTGTTTTCATCAGAATGGACTGACAGGCATTTGTTTGGTATGCTGGGTAGTAACCCAACGCTACTTTATTTCGTTGCTTAAATTGTTCTAGCTTTGGCCACAGAGAGATTTTTCAGTTGGCTCCTTTAGCCCTTTGATATACCCCGGCATTTTGTGTGTGTGTGTGTGTGTGTGTATGTATGTGTATGTGTGTTAGCACTTTTTTTACTTTCTGGCACAAGATGCTCCAGGCTTATCTTGTATCTTGTATATTTCTTGCCTTGGTCTAAGAGTCAGTCCTTTGTCCAAGAGTCTTGATTCTTTCATTGAAAAGGGTATTAGAGGGCATCCCTGGTGGCGCAGTGGTTGAGAGTCCACCTGCCGGTGCAGGGGACGTGGAGCGGGTGGTTGTTGTTTTCATTGCTGTTGGGGTGTCATTGTGTCTAAATCCTCTAAGCTGCCATAGCAGCAAGATATATGTATGATTAGTAACCATTTATATATATATATATATATATATATATATATATACACACACACACACACACACATATTTATATGTATAGCCATCTGTATGTATAGTAAGCTAAACATGAGTTCACACTGATGTCTCCAACTCTAATATCAATACATTATACATGGAACATTCTATCCTTGCTTATCTGTAAACTCCTCTCCAAGAGTGAAAAACTTGGCTTCCAACATCTGCCATCCATTTACTTTGTTCAATTCCAGAATATATATACACACACACACACACACACACACATATATTCAGAATTTTTAACCTATAAGCCCGTAACTTTATCCACTATAATGCAGTGCTTATGTACATTTGCTTTTGCTTCTGATCTTACAGGCTCCATGCATTTTCAGAGTTACTTAGGTCAGCACCTTATTCCCCCACCCACTTCAGTGAGGTTCTTTTACATTTGTAATTCATTTAGATTCTTTTTTTTAGTATCTTGCCTTCCATCCTGGGACATCCCACCTTCCTAATTGATTTTTTCATTTGCATACATTAAGGTTTACTCTGTGGCCTGAAGTTCTACAGGTTTTGACAAGTGCTTAATGTCTTGTATTTACCATTAGTACATCACACAGAATAGATCACTTCCCTAAAAGATCCCCTGTGCTTCACCTATTCAACTCCTTAATCCCCTTTGTAACTCCTGGAAAACTGTACTTTTTTGAAACTCTAGATTGGGACTAAACATATCCAGAGGTAATCATCACAGTCAAGGGATAGCTGATATGTTGTTTCTCTTATACAGCACTTATTTTAAACAAAGTGGACATTTAATGTTTGGTGTATCATGTTTCTTAGAGATCGGGGTCGTGAGCCTTTATTTTTATCTTGTTAGTATTTTTCTGAACAAAATAAAGCAAAATATCTCAAGTTGGAGGAAAAGATCTTTCTTTCAAAGAGGGGGAAGATGATGAATGAATTGAGAGGTCAAAAGAGTAAATGGACAGGTAATATTGATTTTATGTTTTTAATTTTCAAAGTTATGTTTGAAAAGATTTTATTGAATGATGACTCAATAAATTTAAAATTGTTATTTATATTTTATTGTCAAAGGGACCCATCCTTCCTTCCTCCTTCCTTTCTACCCTTCATCCTCTCCTTTTTTTCTCTTTCCTACTTCCTCATATACAAATGTTTACTGTGTACCTGTTAGTGAGTACCTATTTTTCCCCAGACATTATAATGGATACTGGAAATTAATAGGTAAAAAAAGTTATCCATGGCATAAAGGACTTTCCACGTTATTTTTGAGGCCAGAAGATATGAAAGGACAATTACTATATAGTGTTTGTTATATTGATACAATAGGCACACAAAGGAGTAAATCTGTCTTGGAGCATCAGGGAAGGCAACAGAGATGATACCTGAGCCTTGGGAAGAGTGTTAATGTCTGAGACAGATAAATATACTGCATTCTAGGCAGGAAGTATAACATATGAAAACATCTAGGTAGATTAGAGAGAGCGACAAAATTAAGGTGCTACCAGTTAATTAAGCTGGAGTGGAAGTGTCAGTCGAGGTGGGATGGAGATGGAAGTGGTGGTAGAACAGAGGCTAGACAAGTATAGCTCATGGAGGGCCTTGAGTTGAGATTTTATGCTGGAAATTATGAGAAGACTACTCAAGGGTTTATGAACAAGGTAATGAATACATCATGTGACATTTTAAAAAGCTCTACTTGGCAAGGAACTGGTGGAGAGAATTAGGAAGGGTATGAATCTTAATCCTAGAAAACTTTGTAGATGATTATAACTACAGTCAGGATCGGAGATGATGAGAGTCTGCTTTAGGGCAATGACAGAGGCATGGAACAACAAGGAAGTATTTGAGAAATATATTAATAAAAATAGGAAGTAATATGAGGAAGGAGGCAATGAAGTAATACTGAAGGGTAAAGTTGAGAATGTTCTCTAAATCCTACTAATCTTTAATCTCATTTAAGGGAATTGGAACCTTGATGGCAAACAGGCACATTCTGTGCAATTTTATATTGAATATTTCATTATTATATTTCCAAGAATGGGTGCTAAGAATTCCATAAAAATATTAATTCAGGAAGGAACATAGTCTAGATATTTCTTCTTATTAAGACATTAAATCTTATTTAAAGGAGAATGTAAAAAAAATGAGTTCAGAGTTTGTGACATGTCCATGAAATGAAAATGAATTTAAGCTTAAAATTCTTCTCTGTTGTGAGGAAATTCTTGTTATGGTTTTTTGACATGTAATTCATAGAAACTGAAGTGTTCACCCATATTGGTATTCACAGTATCATTCTAGAGGTTAATCCAAATAAACTTTTTCTTTGGCAGGATGACTCTTTAAAGCAGTTGCAGGTGGTTCATCAACCGTGGATCCTGCCAAGTGACACAGAAAGTGAAGGAGTGGAAGCAGAACAAGAGAAACGTGAGTAGACACTGCTGTTTATTGACAAATTGCTTTTAACCAAAGGACATCCATGATGATGGTATATGCCTTTCCCAGTATCAAACGATGTCTGCAAAAAATTCAGACTTATTTAGGGAGAACATGTAAAGATAAGCTATGCTTTTGGTCTAAAAATCTTGATTCACTGATCTCTTAATTGTGGTGCAGAGGCCCATAGACTTAACTTTCTGAAAAGCAGTGTAGTACGTTAAAAGAAGGAATTATTATTTCTGAAGACCAACATAAAATATCCATTTGGAATGTGAATCGTCTACTAATGCTGTAGATTTATATCATATAAATCTATATTTATATCATATATCATATCATATATACAGTGATAACTTGTGATTATTAAAAAGTTTCAAAGTTATGTTAGGATTGGCTCGTTATTATTTTTGAAAGTATCATTATTGGTTATATGGATACATTTATGTATGTAGAACTGTTCTAAATTCACAAAACAGATTAATTTTATAATAGTAGCTAAGACAAAGAGAATATACAGCTCCTGATTTAAGTCACTGGATTATAATCATAACAAGAATGAATTACTGTAATTTGGCATGACTCAGTTCATGCTCTCCAGGGGTTACTGACATTGTCAGACAGATGGGTTCAGCATGAAGGTGAGAAGTTAGTGTCTGGATCATAGAGGAAAAACATCAATTTTTAAAATAATAAGATATCAGAACCTTACTTTTTTTTCTTTACCAGTGGTAGCCTGCAGAGACAAATAAAAGTTGTAAGTAGTAATGTAGCACTCATGATAATTGGAGTGAAGCAATTAATTAACTATTCCCCTGAGCTGTAGTCATCAGAGACACCTGATATATTACACAGGTAGCATCATGACTCTGTACCCAGGGAGATCCAGGAAATTACTTTTCCAGGTTAAAAGGCATTTATAAAGATCCTTATCCCACTTCCATAACTGCAGGCTTATGTGGCCAGAGGGAGCACAGCCAGGAGAGGGACCTAAGAGGCAGGTGCTCAGGTGAGAGGAGGAGACAGCCCCAGTGTCACTCAGCTGACACATTCGAAATGCAGTGAATAAATTAGTGACATTGTACAGATTCTAATGGAGGGAAACACCTTCTATAGAAAACAACTGATGAAGACTCAGAAAGTAGACTGTACTTCAAGCATGTATTATAGAGTAGTTTGGAAGATCTTTAATGCAAGTGGTCCTAAGTAAAATAGTCTAGGAAAGGAGCAGCATAGGGTACAAAGAAGAGCATCCCCTAAATCTGAAAGAATTACGAGTGGCCCGGAACTTTTATGAAAACAAACGCAAGCACATTTATACCTCCTACTCCCCACACAATTAAACATACATAAGCTCTCATTCTAGAGTTTGGATTTAATAATTTTCATCAAATTCTTTTGAGGTCTTCATAAATTTTGCATTAAATAAATCCTTCAAGCGAATGTGTGTGTATATGTGTGTGCGTGCGTGCACGCATGTGTGTATTGTATAAAGACAATATATATAATTGGGCTAGCTGTACTCTCTCAGATTCAACATCCAGGATGCACAGTGTATTAATTCTATGAACGTGCTATAACTTTTAATGAACTAAAAACTAAAATCAAGAAAATAATCAATCAGAAGTATATTTAATCCAAGTCCAAATTCAGACTTACTTACTTTCCCTGAAATCCATATGTCTCCATCAGTATTAAGTCTGGAAAACAGCTTACTAATTTAAAGGAGATTGAAAACCCCCAGAACTTTCTTCAACCCTTGTCCTGTTATCATATTGCCTTTCTGCCATATACTTTCACAAGATTTTGTTGATAAGTTGTAATCATCTTCTCTTCTATTAGGGTGCAAATTCTTTGAGGGAAGGAATCTGTTTTCTTCATCTTATTTAGCTACATAATAAGACCTCAATAAATATCTGAAAATTTAACAGATGAATGAATGTATAGGTTTCTTGGGTACTTTCTAACTTGTTTATCAGGACAGTTATAAATATGAAACAGATAAAATGAATAATAATTGTGACTGAATAATTGTCCTGAAAATTATAGTTTTATTAAAATTTTAATATTGGATTTATAGTTTAGCCATAGATTTTGCCATATGGTCTATCAGTCACTCTGAAGAAGGTCATTCTTAAACTCTCCTAACCATAGACCTAGAACCAAAAATATTTGATTTCAGTAATGTCATACTTGGAGGTGACCCTTGACAATGGTAAACTGTTTGAAATAAAATCAGGGTTTAAAAATAATTAGGTGGTAATAGGAGCCATCAGGAAATGGAATGCTGGCTGGCAGTGCAGCCAGACTCATAGTACAGAGATGCAAATACTCTTCAAGAGCGGCATCTAACATTCAAGTACTAGAACAAGTGTAAGATGGAGCCACTGAGGTTCCGATACTTGTATTCAATGTATGAGTTTTGTGGAACAACTGGCAAGATATGTATAGATCATCTACCTCTTTATTTTCTCAGTGAAAGAAAATAAATGACATAAGTCTATGTGAACCCAGCATCTGATTTATAGTGTAGAGGCTCATATATTAGAAATTTATGAGTGAGGAAAAGGACAAGATTCATCATTCCAATGGTAACACCTGTTTGTTGACTCAGCTTTCTGTAAATTATATGTAGGTAATTTTATGGAATTTTCAGATTTCTCCTGAGACAAAATTATCATGGTGGAAAGTTTCCAGATAATGTTAGGATCTTTGCAGTTATGCATATTTCTTATTGTTTCATTTTAAAATAAAACTTAGTACAAAGTTTTATAAAAGCACCATTTAGGAAAAGACGTCTTGAATAATTCAATGGGAAGCTTTAAACAGTTTTATTATAAACAAACTGTTTAAGATAAACTGTTTAAGATAAACAGAACCCTTAAATAGACTTTTTGTCTACTCTGATTTTAGTATAAAAGTCTACATCACAAATTTTAAAAACTCACGTCAGGAGTGTGGGTTTTTTTTGTTTTTGTTTTTTTAACATCTTTATTGGAGTATTAATTGCTTTACAATGGTGCGTTAGTTTCTGCTTTATAACAAAGTGAATCAGTTATACATGTACATATGTTCCCATATCTCTTCCCTCTTGCGTCTCCCTCCCTCCCATCCTCCCTGTCCCACCCCTCCAGGCGGTCACAAAGCACCGAGCTGATCTCCCTGTGCTATGCGGCTGCTTCCCACTAGCTACCTACCTTACGTTTGGTAGTGTATATATGTCCATGCCTCTCTCTCGCTTTGTCACAGCTCACCCTTCCCCCTCCTCATATCCTCAAGTCCGTTCTCTAGTAGGTCTGTGTCTTTATTCCTGTCTTACCCCTAGGTTCTTCATGACATTTTTTTTTCTTAAATTCCATATATATGTGTTAGCATACGGTATTTGTCTTTCTCTTTCTGACTTACTTCACTCTGTATGACAGACTCTAGGTCTATCCACCTCATTACAAATAGCTCAATTTCGTTTCTTTTTATGGCTGAGTAATATTCAGTAACATTGTATTTGGTATGCTTCCTGGTGTCCCACAGGGCCTCTGAGGAACTGTTCATTTTTCTTTTCTGTCTCTGTGTGTGTGTGTGTGTGTGTGTGTGTTCCTCAGGCTGGATTTGGATTGACCTATCTTAATCTCTTTGACTTTTTCTTATGCCAGCTCAAATCTGTTGATGAGCCCCTCTAGGGAATTTTTCATTTTAATTCCAGAATTTCTATTTTTTTTTCCTTTTATAATTTGTATCTCTTTGTCATAGTCTTCATTTGGTGAGAGCTTATTCCTATACTTTAATCTATTTTACATGATTTCCTTTAGTTCTTTGACTATATTTCTAGTAGTTGATTAAAAGTCTTTGTCTAGAGATTCCATCGTCTGGGCTTCCTCAGGGAGAATTTCTTTTGACTGCCTTTCCCCCCCCATTTATGGGCCATACTTTCACGTTTATTGTGATATCATGATTTATACATCATGTCATTTTGTTGTTGTTGTTGAAAACTGTACATTGAATATAATATAATGTGGCCACTCTGGAGATTGGACCATCCCCACCCTCCAGGGTTTGTTTGTTGCTGCTGTATTTTCTTATTGTTATTGCTACTTTTTGTTTACTAACTTTCCTAAACTAATTCTGTAAAGTCTATATAATTTGTTGTACACAGATACTGAAGTCTTTGCTCAGTAGCTTAGTTGTTAGCTAATGGCTGGACAAAGTATTGAGGCATGCCATGAGCACTCCAGAAGTTTACAACTCTGCTTAAACAGACCTTCTAAGTCAATCAGAGGTGAGAGGTAGATCCGTATCGGGTCTTTCCTGAGCAGGTGCAAAGCACTGCACATCTGTGTGGCATTTCTAAATCTACACGCCTATGTCAGAGCTTTTGAAAGCCTCCTATGGACGTATCACTTACTGTATTTTTTAAAAAAATTTTTTGGTAAGCCTTTTGTTTGCCTCAGGAAGCTTCTGTATAAAACTATAGCCCCTGATTGTTTTTGACAAATGTTATATGGACAGGGTATCTCACTGAGTGAGCTCTAATTCAGGTCAAACAAACAAACAAACAAAACATTCAAGGGAGGCATTTCCAGGCAGCTTCCATATAGGTCAAATAGTGACAACTCTAGATATTCGGGGAAACTCTAAACCTGTTCTGCCCCCTCTAGTGGATCATAGGCTGTTTGTTTCACAGCTACCATCATTGTGAGAACGCTGATTTTCAAGGCTCCCGCAGAGCAGGAGAGAAGGATATTAATACTGGGTAAAATAAAACCCTACATAGTTATTGTTTCTATTGAGAATCAACTGCTTTTCTTTAATAAATGTTCTATGGATTGTTGCAAGCCTTCAATAAATTTCCCGAGTTCGGAAAAAGTTGATTTCAGTGATTCTTGCTCATGTTGTATTCTCATTGCATTTATAGAGGAGCACATTTTTCGAGATCTCTATACCTGAATTCCACAAGTGCTTCTCCTCCACTATTTTTCTTGATTTTATCAGCGTAG